AGTCTATATATTCTACGTCTATAGTCGAACGCATGGTGTAAGTATATCAGGTGTAACATTCCCGTGAATGCGCAATGGTTCAAGTAATGGCTGCTCTCTGAACCAATAAAAAATTTGCCCCAAATTTTAAAACTAACCATTTTAGAAAACAGCACGGTAAAAAATTTTTTATATATACTTATACACAAATTAAAATAATTATATCTAATTATGCAAATTTATATGCCGAATATGTCCATACAATTTTATACATAAAAAATTTTTTACCGGGAGTCAACACATCCGACACAAATCACCACACGTCACTTTTCACTTATAATTGTGATTGACCTTAAGAAATTCTTTGACTCTTCTCGGGAGAAGACTCAAACTGTGCTCGAATGTGTTAATATCTGTGTCGATATGTGTCTTTTAAAAGGAAAGCAGCCGTCACTAACGTCAGTGTTGCCTAAGATAGGTTAGGACAGTGTATCAGATATTTACAAACAGCAGTGAACAAACGTGTGGTAAGTTAAATATATCATACAACGTTACGTTACGTTACGTTACGTTACGTTACATTACATTATATTATATTATATTATATTATATTATGATATTATGATATTTTATTTGAATTCCACGCCAATTTTGAGGCAAATTTCCTATTGGTTCTTTCTGTATTCAGCCGCCATTATGCGCAATGTTACACTTGATATACTTACATCATGGTCGAACAGAACAAACGCGTTAGGGCCTCCGCACAAACTCTTTCGTATCGTGTTACGTTATGTTAAATACTGACCTTAAACTTAGATTTGTACGTAAACTTGAACTTTATTTAACGCACAAACAAAAATTAACTTAACATAGCATAAACGTGGTACGTTAAGTTTGTTTGTGCGTTGAATAAAGTTTAAAGTTACGTACGACTCGAAGTTTATGGTTAGTACTTAACGTAACGCACTATAAAAGAGGTTTTGCGGAGGCCCTTACGTACGCGTTGCCTCGTAGCCGGCTTGGTGGAAAGAAGACGGAACATACTATGTCTGCACTGTTCCACAAGCCGACAACTGAGCGTGACGTCACCACTGAACTATAATATGGAACGCGCCTTATTGTGCGGCTGTCCGCGATAGAGAGCATCACAACTAGGATATCTATCTCGTCGTCGCTGATTGGTTGAAATTTATACGAGTACAGTCCAAGACAAAAGAACAACGAAAAGTAAAGAATGATTGCGCTTAACAATTGCTAAGCGCTAATTTCTGCTGAATTGCTCAAGCGAGAGCCGCGTCCATGTGCGTGACGTCCATTGAACTATAATATGGAACGCGCCTTGGTATTGTACGGCTGTCCGCCATTGCAGCAATTGCTAAGCGCTAATTTCTGCTGAACGCAGTCATTCTTTACTTTTCGTTGTTTTTTTGTCTTGGACTGTACTCGTATACATTTCAACCAATCAGCGACGACGAGACAAAGACAGAGATCCTAGTTGTGATGCTTTCTATCGCGGACAGCCGCACAATACCAAGGCGCGTTCCATATTATAGTTCAATGGACGTCACGCACACGGACGCGGCTCTCGCTTTTGTGCGTATAAGAGCATCAAAGTGGTGGGGATTCAACTTCGATGCTCTCGATGCTGCCTGCACGATCTGGCATCTCTGATACTAAGTATAACACAATGTACAGTCGCGCTCGTTGAATCGTTTCGTGAACTGTTACGTGCCGCGATCCCTGTCGCCGCTCAAGTTTACGATTTTATCTATTTCCTTCGTTGACACATATGACCCGCCAAAATCATAAACTAATAAATACAGTCCGATAAACTTCCTCTCCTTACAAACGCTCTCCCTAAATTTCTTTGTTGCCCGTTGCGTAAATCTATGACTCACTAAAAGACAAATATTACGCCCTAGGAACGAATGTCTAGCTCACACGTTTTAGTTTAAGACAAGATCAGTTCTTGTTCGCAGCTCAAACGAGCAACACTACCTCTCACATTAATAAAGCACCTCACAGAAAGTATCCTGCATATTTTTTTATTTTATTACGTGGCTATCCGGCACGTAACAACTGGTGGCAGCGGTGGGATACACTGTAAAAAGTGCAACATTTTTTCTGCTGAATCTGGGCTGGTTGCTGCAAAATTCCGAATCAGAAAAGAAGCGAGGCGTGAGACACATCTCGAGGCTTGGAATTCGAAAAAACTTCGCAGTCTTCACAGCAAGATCATCGAAGTAGAAGATCCAAGGTCAGCTGCAATTTACTATTTGGCGAATTGAACAAGAGTACGCTCCAAATGATCTGCTGAGTTCCTGCCTGTCAACCAATAACACCTCGACGTATAGTTCGCGTGTCGATCTACCCTGAAGTAACACGGGCGGCTCCTCCCCACCTTACGGGTGACTCCTCTCTACCTTGTCGTGGTGCCCAGGCTTAAGGAAACTGTGATCTGAAGGGCAATGCTGGCGGGAGCTCTTTTGAGCCCCTGGTAGGGTCACCCATGCTCAGTAAGACCTTCAGTGAGTTCCTGAACTAAGAGGGAAGATAGAGGAAGAAAAACCTTGAACAAAAATCGGGAGTTCTCAGCTTTGCTTAGCCCTTCATGCTGGGGGCAACTGAGGGGAGTAAACCCTGACTACAAATCCGAGGTGTCCAGCTCCGATAGTCGCTGGGTCAGACACTGGACTAGAAGAAGGAAAACCTTGACTCCAAACCCGGGCAGGCAAGAGCTCGTTAGCTGTGGTGGAAACAGTCGGCCTATGGGAAAAGGACCCAGAGAAGAAACCCAAAGAAGACTTCATGGCAAATGGCGTTTACACTTAGATCACCTCTGGGAATCTTAGGGACCGGCGAGGGAGCAGTATTGTCCCGGCTGCCCCCTTGTCGTCATCATACGACGAGCCACTGGCGACGTTGACAGCGAGCGTTGCAGGTGACATTGCTATCGCTGAGCGCCACTTTGCCAGCACGAGCAGTGCAAGGACGACCGAGTTGGACTCTGCGGCTGGGTGTCAAGCCATCTGGGAAAGACAACCGGTAGCGGCACGGAAACTGTCCTTTGAGGATGAATCCAACCCTTCGGACCGAAGGAGCGTCCTTATGGATCCTGATGTTGCATTTGGCTTAAGCGACGACGTATTTGAGACTCCGCAGGCGGAAGCGGATACACGGCAACTTACGGGCAAAGCCAAAGTTAGGAAAGTATCCTCTCAGACTTCTGGAGCCAAAGCGCGACCCAAGCGCAAGGCAGATCATATCTCTCCTGGGACCTTATATGACAGTACCCGGCGCAAGTTTGCAACAACTGTTGCGACTACCATTGCGGATCTAACTGACAAAATTGAAAGTGTCAGAGTCCGCAGTAAAAATCTTAGCGGGCCTATGTCGCACACGATCAAGATCTGCGCACAGAGGATTAAGGTGGCGGCAGCTGACCTCGCCACACGTTTTGAGCTGGTAGAGCATGCGTCCTACCTTCGAACAAGAGAAGTGGAATTGACCCGGCACACAAGGGAATTAAAAGAAGAGAATGCCATGCTCAAAAACCAGCTGGAGACCCTCAAGTCGGAATTCCGACAATTCCGACAAGATGTGCATGATGGGAAAATAGGCATTGGCCTTAAACCGCCCAAACCTGTGAACAGGCAGATAAGGGATATCGCTACCTCACCTCCAGACTTAGCGACATGTCCGAGTTTGTCGGTGCCGACGGACAGTAAACCCATGGGCACGAACTTGGTGCGATACAGAAGTGGTAAAACCCAGGATTATGCAAATGGGCGACAGGAAATATTGAGGGAACATACAGTACCTTCTACAGCGCGCGGATTTCACCTACAAAGTGAAAAAAGCAAGGGTGGAATAAAAACTAAGACGCGTGGGAGGCAGGCTAGTGCACATTGTACTTCGGAGGATGAAGGAGGAGCCTCTGAAACGATATACACAGCAAGCGACACTGATTGGACTGTTGCTAGACCGAGAAGGAGATGAAGACTGCAAAATGCAAAGTCGACTGCCGAAGGTGCTTCTGCCCCCCGGAAGGCTTTGCTTAAAGGAAAGGAAGAACAGGTAAAGCAACGCTCACTGGGTATTCGCCCCCCACGATCAGCTGCGGTAGCAATAAGAATTCCTGACGGTAAGACATCATACACCGATGCAATGAAGAAAGCAAGGCGTGAGATAAATCTCGACCAACTAAACCTAGGAGACACCAGAATCAGGCAAGACATTACTGAAGGACTTTTTGTACAAATTCCTGGCAAAGAGGGCCAAGCCAAAGCACGTCAACTGCAAGCCAAATTGCGGGAGGTCTTGGGCAACAATGTTCGCATCACTGTCCCATCAAAACGTTCCGAATTGCGCATTATTGGTTTTGACGATTCGGTGACGACTAAGGAAATCACAGAAAAGGTAATAGAAGGTGGTGGCTGTACTAGCAGTGATATTAAGGTTGGCCCTATTCGATCTCTTGCAAGCGGACTGTGTGCTGTGTGGTTGCAATGCCCGGTTAGTACAGCCCAGGTTCTGGTTAAAGCGGGCCGCTTAAGACTGGGTTGGACCTCAGCGCGAGTTGTGCTGCTCCCTCCCAGGAAATTGCAATGTTTTAGGTGCCTTGAGTTTGGGCATGTAAGGGCCACTTGCCCGAACGAAGAAGATAGGAGTAACCTATGTTACAAGTGTGGCGAAGCGCGATATATACCCAGAGTTTGTGTTAACCAGGCGTGTTGCCCTGTCTGTTTGTCGCGAAGTCTGAACGCGGAGCACCGAGTCGGTACTGGGAAGTGCGCGGCAAGAAGAATTAGTGGTGTGCCTGCAAGACAAGCAGCTTTGGATGATACATTCCAGAAGACAGTAAACAATGCAGTGTCTAACGACCAACCTGTGGTTACGGGCATTGCTAGTGGAGGCCCAGTGGTGCAGGAGGACCAAGCAGCAATGGACACCGATATATGCGCATAATCCAGCTGAATACCAACCACTCGAAACAGGTCCAGGATTTACTGGTCCAACAGATGATGGAAAGGAGTGCTGGATTGGCCTGTGTGGCTGAGCCCCATTCGATCCCGGTGTCTCCGCTTGGGCAAGAGAGCAGCTATTTACTGGTTGCCACAACACTGCAAGTCGGAAGTCCGTCTACTTGAAAGAGGTGAAGGCTTTGTTGCTGTCAAAATGAGACAACTACGCATATACAGTGCGTATTTCTCCCCAAACGAAAGCCGAGCGGATTTTGAAGGACGGCTAGATCGGATGTCGGATAGCACAGGTCCGTCGCCGGTTATTGTCATGAGGGTGATTTTAATGCTGCGTCTTTCAGCTGGGGAGCGCGACTCACAAACATACGAGGAACTGTAGTCGAAGACTGGGCGACATCTTTAGACCTCACTCTTCTAAACAGTGGCTCGCTTCCGACGTGCATACGCCCTCAAGGCTCGTCTATTGTAGACCTGACGTGGTGCAGCGCCGATGTTGCATCCAGAGTCGTGAAATAGAGAGTGGATGCTGATGCGGAAACTCTCTCGGATCATGCTCTTATTGCCCTGGATGTAAACTGGAATAATTGTTTGAAGCAGCCTACCGAACAACAAACTGGAAGACAAACTGGCTTTTCAAGATGGGCATGGAAAAATGTAAATCCTGACCTCATGAGGGCATCGGTTATTCTCAAAGATTGGCTTTGCCCGCAACCTACAAACTGCGCGGCAGAAGCTGCGGCTGTTAGATTTGGTCAGTTGCTGACGGAAGCATGTGATGCAGCGGCTCCTCGTTCTAAGAGACCACCAACTAAACGACAAACTTACTGGTGGAATAGTAACTTAATCGAAATGCGAAGAAAGTGTATCTCCTTACGCAGGAAATTGGTTAGGTACAGAAGACTCAAGAACTTAGTGGACGCTGAAATATCAAGAACTGCACTTAGAGATGCGCAGCGAGCACTCAGAGCGGCAATAGCGGAGGCTAAAAAGATAGCATGGCAGGAGTTAATCTCGACACTGAATGAGGATCCGTGGGGTAGACCTTACCGGGCGGTCATGCTACGACTAAAAACAAGCACAGTGACGGTAACGGAGTCCCTTGAGGAACATAAACTGAATAACGTGATAAGAGGCTTGTTTCCCCAACACGAGAGGACAGAGTGTAGGTTAACTGACCAGCTTCCTGCTGAATTGACTGGTGTTTTTGTCACGTTAGAAGAAATAATGGACTCATTGAAGAGTATAAAACGCTGAAACTCTGCGCCGGAATCTGACGGTATTCCAGTAAGCGCTGTGGCCACCCTGCTGTCTATAATCCCAGATAGACTTGTTCGATGCTATAACACCTGCATCCAGCAGAGGTGCTTCCCAGGCTGCTGGAAAATTGCACGGCTGGTTCTCATTCCCAAGACAGGTAAATTGATGGGACAGCCATCGTCTTATCGCCCGCTTTGTTTCTTAAACAACGTGGGAAAATTATTCGAACGCATCTTGGCCAGGAGAATTATGCGCCAAGTGGATGATCGAGGAGGTTACTCACCCAGACAATTCGGGTTTCGAAGAGGTAGGTCTACATGTGATGCTGTACTGGCGCTAAAGAAATTTGCCTCATTTTTTACCGCTGACAAAGATGTGTGTGTTGCGACATCATTAGACATCCGAAATGCGTTTAACTCATTGCCTTGGCCAGCAATAGGAAACGCAATAGAAGCGTGGCACATGCCAGCCTATATTAAGCATATTGTTGCCGACTACTTGAGGTCCAGATACATCACGTACACTGGCCAGGAAGGTACTATACACAGGACCAGAGTCACATGTGGGGTTCCCCAAAGTTCTGTTCTGGGACCCCCTGTTATGGAACCTTACTTACGACCAGATAAGTGCCAAGTGCCCTCGTCGTGCCGCATTTTCTGCTACGCGGATGACACACTGGTAGCAGCAGGGGGAACCGATGTTCCACGTGCCACAGCGGTTGCCAATTATGGACTGCATGCTGTGTGGAGAGGAATAACTGCGTTGGGCCTCCGCATCGCGCCTGATAAAACTGAAGCAATCGTTTTTTGACATCGACGGTCACGTGTGCTTCCTGAACCGATACAACTGGAAGAAGTTGAAGTAATCCCCCGTCCCTTCATCACATATCTGGGAATGACTTTAGACGAGAGGTGGACATTCAGGAATCATTTTCAAAACATGATTAATAAAGGACGCAGAGTATTGGCAGCGCTGGCACGGATTATGCCGAATCTAGGTCGTCCTAAGGAAAGGCGAAGACAGCTCTACCTACACGTTCTCCATGTCGTAATTCTATATGGCGCCCATGTGTGGGCGGATGAGTTTGTCCGTGACAAGAAGGCGATGTCACAGTGCCGTAGGATTCATAAGCAAATAACGGCTCGGGTTATTTGTGCGTATCGCATAGTTTCGGCGGACGCTGCTCTGCTTCTTGCTAGGGCGCCACCTTTCGAGCTGCTCGCTAGAGAACGAACGATGGTTTATGAGAAGCTGCGCGCGGAAGGAGATATCGTTGACTACAACGGTTGAAAAATCGAGAATCCGCTGCTACAAGAACGGCTTGGATAATTAGGTTACAAAAAAAAACAATTACCAGGGAAAGTCACTAGGGATGCAATTGTACCTATATTTGAGAAATGGATTGAGAGGAAACACGGTGCTATGTCCTTCTACTTGACACAGATTTTGACGGGCCACGGCTGCTTCAATGCGTTCCTTTTTCGCATTAACACAGCAGAATCGGACAGATGTTTCCACTGTCAGACAGGTGCAGATACACTCGCATATACTTGGGAGGAATGCAGAAGCTGGAGTGCGGAGCGCGAGTTATTGCGCCGTAAACTAGAAATTGATAGGGTTACATTAAATAACGCTATACGGGCAATGGTCAATGGACCGGAAGAGTGGAAAGCAGTCGTACGCTTTGCGGACCGTGTGCTGCTAACTAAAGAAGAGGCTGAACGAAAGCGGCGGAGGCAGACTACAGCCGCACAAGAAGAGAGACGAGGGACACAGGAATCGCACCATCGGTGAGCCCCTTAACGGCATAAAAGGTGTATCAATTCCACTGCATATACCTCTGGTCTGACAGTTCTGGTGGGGGCCAGCTGTCACACATAACATGATCAAAGGAAATGGATAACAGGTTGGAGAGGTGTTCCCTCCTCCCTGATAAAAGAATGAAGACACAAATTATGCGCGTGTGAAAGGTGAGAGTTGAGCAAGGAATGCCTTCGGGTGTACGCGAGGCTCTCTCCTAGTTGGCGCAATCAAGGAATACCGAAAGGTTTTAGTTGGTATGTCCCACTCGGGCTGAGTCCTACATAACCCTTGGCTCTCTCCCAGTAGCCAGAATATCCATAAAGGATTTCCCCTCGAAAAAAAAACCCTGAGGTAAAAGGCGACATCATCAGGATGCTCCAAGCACAGCAGCAAAGTGAGAAAAGGAGAACGACAGCGACAACGAGACTCCGTAGACAGCCAGCACAAAAAAGGTCACCTCTCATCATCAACCTATCTTCAGCGGCGTGAAGCATCCTATCATCGACATGCTGCGCATAGTATTACTGTAAGCTCATGAATTTTGTAACTTTTAGAAATATTGAACCGCATTATAATTCCGATAGTTCGGAAAGTAACTCGTTAGATAGTTATAGTAACAACACTAATTCCGGTAATACTCGCGAAACTTCGAATATCAAAATCAATATGAACAATCACGTACAAACAGTAGACTTAACAGAAGACACGGATCATTCCGGCGCACACCAACAAAGTCGAAGATCTTCTATGTCGAGTAATAGTAGCTACTTTTCTGTTCGTCACAGTTTATCACTTCTACCCGTTTTTACTGGCAACAATATTCCGGTAACGCAATTCACGGCTGATTGTAAAGGAGTTCATAGTTTAGTCGAGCCAGACGACAGACTATTTTTTCTTAGAGCGGTTTTGCAAACAAAGTTAACAGGAGATGCCGCGTTAATACGATCGATCTATACGATAAATAATCTCGACGATTTGTGTAGTGCGTTAGACAAAGAATTCGGTAGCTGCAAAACTTTCGATCATTGGGAAATAGAAATTAATAAACTTTGGCAAAATAGAGACAAATCCATTGAAAATTACGCTACTAGAGCTAGGAAATTGAACTCTGATATGATCATCACGGTTTCTAATTACCCTGATTTGGCAGCAAGGGCGGGACTAAAAGTGTTTGCAACGAACAAACTAATAGATCATTTTCTCGGTGACTTACGTAGCCACACCGCACAGCTTCTTCTAACACAAAAATTTAATACATTAGAAGACGCGATTCAAAGCGCAATCACCTACATAACAAAATCCCGATTCCATTCAGAAAGATTTAGATCAAATAGATTTAACGATTCACAATTAACTTGTAATTATTGTAAAAAGGCAGGCCATAGCAAAAATGAATGTAGAAGAAAATTTCATAATACGCAAAATCGAGATACCTTTTACAAAAATTCTAATTTTCGACAAAATAACCAATATCGCGACGTCAGACGTGAGCAAAATTTTTCACAAAATAATAATATTAATAACAAATTTAATAATAATAGAAATTTTCTTCTCAAAATACAAGCTTTCAAAATAATCAATCTAACTATCGACGTAATAATAATTCATTCACTAACACAAATTCACATTTAAACTACCAGGGCCAAGCAAAAAGCGCGCACCGCCTAGGCCCAACGCCGAGTCGCGCAAATCCGATTCACTTGATAAACCAAGAGCAAGACCATACACAATCCGAGCAATCTTGCGAAATCTTATCTGCATCCCATTCGACGAGCTCAGAAATCCAAGAGACCGATTCTTGTTAGATACGAGCGCTGATATAAACATTATTAAAGCTAATGCTCTAAATCGCGATACACTAGTATATATAGACGAAAAAGTAGAAATTCAAGGCATAACGGAAGAAAAACAGCAAACTCTCGGAACTGCATATTTACATTCAAATACAGGAATTCACGAATTTCACGTAGTGTCTGATAGATTTCCTCTAAAAGAACAAGGAATCATAAGTTCCACATTTACGTCAAAAAAACGCAAAAATTGATTTTGAAACGCGAACAGTAACGATCAGTAATAACCAATCATTTCCAATAAAGTTTAGTAATTGGATAACACTACCGAGCAGAACTATTTGTCCTGTGGCACTCCACATTAAACAGCGTAATGTCGAGAATGCGCTTATAAATCGCCAAGAATTAGAGCACGGTATTTTCTTAATAGATAGCATTGTAAAAGTAAATCACGCGGGCGAAACTTATACGTACGTAACTAATACGACGGAAAAAGAAATTAAGTTAGAGATACCTGCAATCGATGTAGAGCCAGTGGATATTACCACGAGCCCGAGGGACAGCTTCACGTATCAAATTGATTCGGTAATCTCAGAAAATTTAATACAAAGGCTAGATTTACTGAACCAAAACTTGAGATTAGATCATTTAAATAAAGAAGAGAAACAATCGATACAACCCGTAATTGAAAATTTTAACGATATATTTTATCTACTAGGAGATAAACTAAAAGAAACAGATAGAATTCCACATTCTATAAACACAACGAATAATATTCCGGTATGCGTAAAGCAATATAGATATCTGCCGGTTCATAAACATGAGAATAAAACCCAAGTTGACAAACTGTTAGAACAAGATATCATTCAACCGTCCGTCTCGCCATATAACTCGCCGCTTTGATCGTGCCGAAAAAGCCCGACGCCGAAGGTCATAAACGATGGCGACTAGTGATCGATTTCCGTAAACTAAACGAAAAAACGGTCGGAGACGCGTACCCCTTGCCTAATATATCGGATATTCTAGACCAACTAGGCAAAGCCAGATACTTTTCATGTTTCGATTTAGCTTCGGGTTTCCATCAAATTCCTATGAACTCGCAAGACGCTATAAAAACAGCTTTTAATACACCTAATGGTCATTATGAATATAAAAAAATGCCATTTGGCTTAAGAAACGCTCCCGCAACATTCCAACGCTCTATGGATAATGTCCTAACCGGGTTGCAAGGAAACGTTTGCTTTGTTTACTTAGACGACATTGTTATTTACGCTCAAACCTTAGAAGACCATAAACAAAAATTAATTCAAGTTTTTCAACGCATTAGAGAAGCTGGTCTCAGTCTACAACCTGATAAATGCAAATTTTTCAAACGCAAATTAACATATTTAGGTCACATAATATCAGATAAAGGAGTTAAAACAAATCCGGAGAAAATAAAAGCAATTGAACAATATCCCGTTCCCAAAAATCATAAACAAATTAAACAGTTTTTAGGACTAATAGGCTATTATTGTCGATTTATTAAAAACTTTAGTCAAATTACACAACCATTCACTTTACTTTTAAAGAAAAATATACCATTTAAATGGGAAATGAAACAACAAATTAATTTTGAAAAATTAAAACAATTATTGTCAAGCAAACCAATTTTACAGTATCCAGATTTTACTAAAGAATTTTTATTAACAACCGATGCTAGTGACGAAGATATTGGTGCAATTTTATTGCAAGGAAAAATAGGCGAGGATCTTCCAGTTGTATATGCCTCACGAACATTAAATAAAGCAGAACGAAATTACGATACCACGGAAAAAGAACTTTTGGCTATTGTCTGGGCAACAAAACATTTTCGACCCTACTTGTACGGCAAACAATTTAAAATTATTACCGACCACAAACCGTTAACTTGGCTATTTAATGTCAAAGATCCGTCATCCCGTTTAATGCGTTGGCGATTAAAATTAGAAGAATATGATTAAAAAGTCTTGTACAAAGAAGGGAAACAGAATACTAATGCAGACGCGCTTTCTTGAAATCCACAAATATTAGTTCTTTAGGCAGAAGCTTCGAGTGGTACTAATACAGATGCGAGTTATAGCCTATTTTTACAACATGCACTAAACGATTCTCTGTGGGAAACCGACAACATAGTTCCTCAAATCTCAGGTAGCATAAAGGGTCTTTTAGCGAAGGAAACTTACCCTTCTCCTAAACTGAAAATTACTCTTTCAAACAACAATAAGAATAAAGCGGAAGACGTAACTCTCACACCGGGAAATATCGAAATTGTGAAAAAGAAACCCTTAACCGAAGTAAATCTCATTACACGAAAAAATAAAAGCACTCCAGCACCCATGGAAGACATATTTAACTGTTAAAAAATAAATATGCAGAAGGGCCGATACAGAGTCAAATACTAGGTGTTGATGTATGAACAGAAATCTTTATTTAAAAATGCCAAACGTTTCGACTCTTGGTTTGAGTCATCTTCAGTGGCATACAAAAATCTACATAAGTAA